TCTGGCAGCGCTGGTCGGAAGAAGCGACGGAGGACAGGCGCAAAACACTTTGGTCGCAAAGGACAGTGCAAGAATGTGGTCGCTTTCGACGCCGAGAGCGCGCGGACTTACCTCGACGTCATAGTGAGAGGATGTTCTCTCAAGCTCCAGCTGGATAGGGTGCAGACATAACCCTGATATCGCATAGAGCTTGGAAGAGGATGGGATCGCCTGCTTTGGAACCCTGTGTGATGCCTGTGAAAACCGCAGACGGAACGCCGATGCAGATTCATGGTAAATTCTCAACCGACTTCTCCGTTAGATATCGAGTTACAGGGAAGATGGTTCATGGAAATGGCACATGCTACGTCACCGAAGGCTCGAATCTACTAGGCCTGGAATGGTGCATCCAGCTGCCGGCATACAAAATGTTGAAGGACAACTACCATTGCAGAAAGGTGACTAGTGAAGAGAGATTCCGAGCCGAAGTGGTCGCCGATTTGAAGAAGAATTATGCAGAAGTCTTCAGCAGCGCCCTAGGAAAATGCACGAAGAGTAAGGCAAAATTAGTCTTGAAGAGCGATGCTGTTCCAGTTTTCAAGAAAAAGCGACCGGTACTTTACGCATCCACCGGAACTGGAAGCCGAAATTGATCGCTTGGTAGCCGAAGGAGTCATTTCTCCAGTCGAACACTCAGAATGGGCCGCACCGGTAGTTGCTGTCAAGAAGAAGAACGGAAAAATCCGTCTATGTGCCGACTTCTCGACAGGATTGAACGATGCATTGCAGTTTCATCAGCACCCATTGCCCACAGCGGAGAATGTGTTCACAAAGTCAAACGAAGGCCTGCTCTTCACACAGCCCGACTTAGCCGAAGCGTATCTACAAGTGGAAGTCGAAGAAGCGTCGAAGGAGATGTTAACCATCAATACGCACAAGGGATTGTAACGCTACAATCGCCTACCATTCGGAGTGAAATCCGCTCCCGGTATCTTCCAACAAATAATGGATGCGATGATAAGCGGACTGGAAGGCGTAGCCGCTTATCTTGATGATATCATCATCACAGGCAAGACTTATGAAGAACATCGCAAAAACTTAGAATCGTTGTTCAGGCGTATTAAGGACTACGGATTCCACGTCAGACTGGAAAAGTGTAGCTTTTTGATGCCAGAAATCTGTTACCTCGGTTGCATTATCGACAGAAATGGACGCCGTCCGGACCCGAAGAAGATTGAGGTCATCAACAAAATGCCAGCACCGAAGAACATTTCGGATGTTCGCTCATTCCTTGGTATGATCAGTTACTATGGATCGTTCGTATCGGAAATGCGCCAGCTGCGTGCGCCCCTGGACGAACTCTTGAAGAAGAACGCACACTTCAAATGGACTGAAAAATGCGACAAGGCATTCAAGCACGCCAGGGAAGTTTTAGCTTCGGATCTGCTACTTACACACATTGATCCGAGCTTGCAGATAGTCGTTGCCGCCGACGCGTCAGATTATGGAATTGGGGCAGTAATCTCGCATAAGATGCCGGACGGAACTGAAAAAGCTATCTGTCACGCAAGCCAAAATCTCACTGCCGCGGAGTATAATTACGGACAGATTGAGAAGGAAGGACTTGTATTGGTCTTTGCAGTCCGTAAGTTCCATCGCTACATTTATGGAAGTCGATTCAGATTGCTGACCGACCACAAGCCACTGCTGCATATCTTTGGACCGAAGAAGATGGTGCCGGTGTATATAGCAAACAGGTTACAGCGATGGAAACTGATTCTCCTTGCATACGACTTCGACCTGGAGTATCGGAAAACGACGGAGTTTGGACAAGCCGATGCCCTGTCTCGACTGATTCCGCCAAGGCCATTCCAAACCGAGGACGTCGTAATTGCAAAAATTGAAGAAGATGTGCGAGCTGTTCAAGCTGAAGCGATACGAGCGTTACCAGTTACCAGGAGTAAGATTGAAGAGGAAACCGGTAAGGACGAAATTATCATGGAGATTATACGAATGCTGAAATCGGGAGCATGGCCGTCCAAACCGAAAGAAGAGTTCAGCAGTTGGAAAGCACTGAGTGTCAGTGCAGATTGGTTGCCTGTACTTTAGCCACAGGATAGTCATTCCATCCTCACTGCGATCAGCAGTCATGAAGCAGTTACACGAGGGACACCCAGGAATGACATGAATGAAGAAGCTTGCAAGAGGTTTTGCATACTGGATGGGCATCAACAGAGAGATCGAGGATTCAGTCCGTCGATGCAGTGAGTGCCAGGAAGCTGCCAAGATGCCAGTCAAGACAGTGCTCAACTCGTGGAAGATGGAAGAAAAGCCATGGAACCGAATCCACATTGACTATGCAAGACCACTAAATGGAAAGATGTATCTTGTCGTAGTCGATGCGTGCTCGAAATTGCCGGAAGTGCTGGAAATGTCGTCATCGTCAACTACAGCTAATTGAAAGAACTTAGGTTGCTATTCGCTCGATTTGGAAATCCGCGAGTAATCGTGTCGGATAACGGAACTCAGTTCACAGCAAAGGAGTTTCAAAACTTTTGTGAAGAGCGAGGAATCCAGCACATGTGTTCGCCTTTATTCCATCCACAATCAAATGGACAAGCGGAAAGATTTGTGGATATCTTCAAGGGAACCATCCAGAAAATTAAGGAGGGAAGAACGACAGAGAAGCTTGCCGAGTTCCTGCAGTCGTATCGACGAACGCCTTGTACAACTGCTCCCGGACAACGTTCACCTGCCGAACTGCTGCTGGGACGTCAGTTGAGCACACCGCTGTCGCTGTTAAATAAAGATTTCAAAGAAGAAGGAAAGATGGGCAACGAAACCATGGAGAAGCAGTTTAACCGCCACCATGAAACACGAAGGAAAGCGTACCATCCAGAAGAAGCCGTGTGGGTACGTGATTTTCGCTCTGGATGTGAAAAATGGATTCCAGCCCGAGTGAAGAAACGCTATGGAGAAGCGCTTTATGACGTGCTTACGGAAGATGGCCAGTTATGGAGACGTCATGCGAACTAGATGCGCCGCCGCAAGTATGGATCAACATCATGACTCAACACCGTCCATCCCCGACGAAGGCCGATGTAACAATGGTATGGATGCTGCTGAACACCAAGCCATTTCGTCTACGCCGCCGACATCAACCAGACCAAATCGCCATCGTCGCCTACCAGAACGTCTAAAAGTAGATCCTTATTGTAAGATGTACCGTTGTTCATCTTAGGAGGGAGGTGTTGTAGAGCTGCCCCTTATATTGGAACTTGCTCGCTCACTATAGGCTAGGTCGATATGGTCTCTGTGGTTGCGGCGTACCGGCGCAACTTTGATATATTTGTGTGCTGTTCTCTAGCTATTCCTAGTGAGCAACTTTGATATATTTGTGTGTTGTTCTCTAGCTGTTCCTACTGAACCCTCGGCATGTACGCCGATAGGCAGAGGGGGAACTCTTGTGTTTTTCTAATAGATCGTCAACGACTCAACGCGTTCTACTACAGTTTTTTTGCAAAGTTTGAGCTAAGGAGCTGAGAGTTAGCACAGGGGAGTAATAGAGCATGCTGATCACGAAGACAATATCAGTTCTAGATTTATCCGTTACTTCTATCAATTTTATTGACTTTTTTTTGCAAAGTTCAGACTACGGGGCTGAGAATTGGCACAGAGGGGTAATTAGGCATGCTGATCTCGAAAACTAAACGAGTATAAGGAATTGCCTGTAGAACACGGGAAAAGTTGTACGGTTATAGAGGTGGGACATTTATCATAGTGTTTTGATAAGCCCAGGCGGAGCCGGGTATGATACCTAGGTTTTCAATAAATTTGGGTTTGTCATCCGACATCAAACTATTCCGAGTTTTTGAAACTAAGTTCTTTTCAAATTCTCAGATGTTCCTGACTACTTTTCAACCTTTGAGAGCCCCCCTTCTTGTTTTTGTCTTCGATATCCCCAGATTTTGAGAGAGGGGACCTCTTTTACCCATTCCGCAAAAACAAACTCCAATACCACCAATGGGCATGTTCGAACGCCTTTTACTTCATCATCGGGTTCTGAAAACCACCGAGTCTTCGTCCGTTCCCTTCCCTCTACTTCCCCTTTCCCCCCCCTCTTCTTGCTCTCCCTAGTCTTTCCACTTTTTCCTCCTCCCTCTGAAATGATGTTAGAGCTAATGAGTATTACAGTTGAGATCGTTTTTGGGTAGTTCTCCGTTATCCGGACCCATTTTCTTAAAGAAGGATATTGCTCTTTCTTTGTACCTTATTTGGTCTCGACTGTCAACCTTCCTGCCACGTGTTAAAAAATTTTGACCTGTTACTTACATGTCTAACAGGTTTAAGCAAGAGTTTGAGTTGCCCCACCTAGCGACCTAAGTTCAATCTCTTTTTTGGTTGATAGTGGCCCCATTTTCGATTGAATAGTATCAAAAAAGAGCATTATTATCATAATAACGTCATTCTGCTACTGATTGAACAGATTAGACTTGTCCAAAATAGAGAGGTGGGCTAGAATTCCATCATCTAAGTGACAAAACAAGCAATAGCGAGAACTTAAAGACATCACTTATAGAAGTGATGTCTTGAAGTTTTTCTCGTCTGGCTTATTTTTTTTCAAATATAGCTTTTAGAAGGTTTTGCTCTCATAGGAAACAATTGAACAGCTTTTAGGCGATCATAAATGCTCTTTTACCTAACCGGAAATGATTTCAAGAAAAACATGTCTAAATGGACAAAACGTGTCAATATGTTCTCGACACGTGGAATGGAGGCAGTCCTCGTGGTCTCTATAAAAAATGTTTTAAGACTAAAGAACGTGTTTTATGAGAGCCTTTTGGAAAGATGGGTGTGGATAACGGAAAAGGACCCATTTTTGTAATGAAATTTTCAGTAAACCCATAACAACTCATCACTTTCTTCCTTCATTTTCTGAAGACAGCCCCTGAGAAACAAAACAACCCACGTAAAACTTCAATGATTCGTGAGATTTTCGAAAAGTCGAATTCAAACCGGACCTCGGGCTTTCTCATTGGAATGACCTCTGCATGCTCCAGTTCGTCTCTCAACCACGTGTTCACTTCCTCACTGTATTCTAGCGATGACTGCGATGGCGGAGCATGATGGGCAGCACAATCGAAAGACCTATGCAGAGCAAAGTGTTGCATATTTGACTATATCAAAAAAAACTTGAAAGACATGCAGACACATACGTACAAGCTGTAGGCTGCTGCATGACGAAAGCGCAATATATTAGCGCGCAAACGCGGCTTTAAACTACAGAGCGCATGAAACGCAGGATCTACAACAGTGAAGATACGCGCGCGCCGCGTTCGCGCCCGCTAAACTAATACTGCTTCTGCGTCTTCGCCATGCAGTAGCCTTTACAATAAACACGCATCGTGTCTTAATGTCTGACCTTCGTAGATCTCTCTGTCTTATACATTAGACCACTGCTGAAGATAACACACTGTAAGCCGTTTTTGCTTACAATGTGTCCAAAAATAGGCGTGCTTATTTTGTAAACATGCCAAAACACTACGGTAAGCTTCGGCTTATTTCTTGACGACTATAACAATCCCTGTCTTCGTTGAAGGAGAAAAAAATCTAGAATAAAAAGGCAAAAAACCTTTCGTATGTGTCCACAACGACATAGGCGCAATATCCAGAGCAAACAATGTTTGAGAGGTAGATTTTCTGTTCTATTTTACTGCTTTCCAGTCTAAAGATTTGTTATGTAGACTTGAAAAAAGGATTTGCACATATCTCAATATAAGCGACGGAAGAGGTACAAGGTTTTGGGTGAATCGCTCATCTTCGCGTCCCGACCTTTTTCTCCAGCGGGATAGATTTGAGTTCATTGAGCTTTCACTAAAATTGGTTCTACTAAAATGAAAGCACTGCAGTCAGCAAACGTACCATTTCAATGCAGCTGCTTCTTCGCTATTTTCATTATTCGCACTCTTAGACCCCCAAAAGTATAATTCGTTTTCGGTAGTGCCAACTAGCGAGAATCCATCACCACAAGCGATCTTCTGAATGAAATAACGGTCATGTTTATAGATCACCAGACTAATCGTCCGGCTTACGCCGGACTCTCAGACTTCTAGCATAAAATTATCTCCAATGACTCCATCTAATTATTTCAACTTTGTATCCAAGATTAAAAAAATAATCAAGCTGTATGCAGTGAAAGTCTAAATTACAATCTGGGTCTGTAATACCTGTCGCGCAGAATTATGACTCAGAGTTAACTCTGAGTTACCTCTGTGTAACACGTACCTTTCTGAGGCCCTTAACAGGTGCTTAAACAGACCAAATCTGGAAAGCGATGAAATGGCAGGCTACTCCGTAACCAGTAGTTTATTCCTGGTAAAGCAATATTATCCAAATCGTTGTGCACACGAAACAGCGCCATCAAAAGCGTACCTGAGCTTAGCGATAACTCTGAGTTTGGTGCGCGTTCCAGTCTATCGTGGGACTCCGAGATAACTCTGAGTTAAGTCAGAGAAAGAGGAACAGTGCACAGAGGGGCAGCTAAGAAGTCCTCCCGAGTACATTTTGCTTGTAGTTTCAGCAGGCATGATAGGGGTATAATGGTGAGCTGTGAATTATAAAATTTCAAAATCTTGTAAAATCTTAGCCAGGGGTTATTCGGTGCGCTGATAACGAATATGGTACTCATTTTTTACCATAGGGTCGTATGGCCAGCCTACGGTAGGTTTACGGTAGATAGGAGAATATCACAAAGTTGGCCAAAACTAAAGCCGGTGGGGTTACTGGGGAGGGGGGGGCTGATCACGAATTTGGCATGCAGTTTATACTGCGGTGATATCTGGCAAAGTTACGGTAGCTATACGGTAGAATTAAGAAAACCACAAAACTGATTGAAACTTCGACCGTTGGAGTGGAGTTATTTGGGGCGCTTATCACCAGGGCCAAGCAATAGGTGTGGCACACGATCGCTGATTACGCCCCCCTCTTACTGCTACCTCAATAGGACTCCCTGAACTATATACCTAAGATAACATTACTTGAAGGCCCTGTCAAACATAACGGGCAACATATCCATGATTAGCATGTCAATTAACCCCTGTAGACAACGTTCGAGCGAATTCTGAAGTTTCAAGATACTGGGTCACCTCAAGTGAGGTTGCCATTTTCCATGATTAACTTTGTTTCAAAGGTAAAGTAGCTAGCTGACTTTACACTCAAGACAAAGCACTACTCGCTAAAAAAACCTCCTAACTTTGGAATTAGAAACCAACCAAAATCTTGTTTTTCCTATATTTTGCTTTTAATGGCTGTGCTTCCCCCAAATATTACTCGTTGGGAAGACTGGGAAGACGAATCAGGCTCAAATCACTCCTATGAAATCAACGAGGTCTAGGCTATCGATTTATATAAATAACGTCGCAAAAAATGTTTTTTTGATATAGTTAATGGGGGGGCTGCCACACCCCATTAACTTACCTTTGAACAAATTAAATAGCTGCGTTTTTTATATCGTTGTTACTGCTTAACCATTTTCTTTGCATAGCAAAATTTCGTACGAAAACTTTTCTTCAAGAGCAAGATATAATCGTTTTTCCTTACCTATGCAAATGTAAAATACTGGTAAAATACTGCGAAAATATTGGGATACGGTAACATGCTGAGTCTGCGCTACTACGTGAATCGCAAGGGAATTTGACAAGAATGTGTCTATTCGACAGCCTAAGCCTCGTAATCCACATTTAGTAATTTGAGCTTGATTGGTCTTCTCTAGCCTGAGATATTGAAAACGAAAAATGGAACAAACGAGATTTCGGCTTGCTCTTAATTCCTTAGCTTGGAGGTCATCTGAAGTAGGATTCCTAATGTGAGCAAAGAAATAGTAGTTCTTTGTATTAAGCGCAAAAAGAAGTAGTTAACTTACCTTTGAAACAAAGTAACTGCTTGAAAACGAACATCTCACTTAGGTGGTCCTGTATTTGGAAATCTCAAAATTCGCTGAAACTTTGACCACAGGGGTTATTTTACTTGCTAATTACAAAACGATGCTCTTATGCTTTGTAGATCTTTGATTATGTTTGCTGTACGTATACGATAATCTGTCAAACATCGTTAGTAGTTTGCATGCGGGCCTATTTGACATTGTTAACTAATATCATGTTATGCGAACAGCGCACGCCTTGATAACGACCCCCCCTCTCCCTGATTCCTCAGTACGACCCCCAAGTGTGGCATGCCACAACCCATGCTTGACCCTGCTTATCACGGACAGTCTAAAGCTCCGTACACTAGTGTCATTTTGAGCGGTTACGGTACGTATATTGTAAATGGGCCAAATTATAGAATAAGGGCAAGTTTGGCGCGGAAAGTTCAATGCACAGACCCTTATAGTCCATTCTTACCATTGCATATGCCATTCGTTCTCTCTATTGCTTGAAGCCTTCAGCTGCGCAAAAGATCATTTCGTGCGATAAAACCACTTCTCGACAGAAATGAAAATGAGGCTTTTAAATAACATGTTTTGACGTGCTTTGTGATGATGCAATGAAAACATTATGGCAAAACAATTTTGAGTTTGCAGGGTGTTTCATGGCCTAGCGATTTAGTGATGGGATCATTACGCTAAGCCGAACAGGTTCGCGTATCAACTTTAAGGATGTTTCTTCAGCAAAGGCGTAACAGCTCCCGAAACAGCTTTAACTCCAAGCTTGAGAGTTGGAACTTGGAACTTTATAAGCGGAACTCAGAATTTTAATGCGCATCTGAGTAAACGCGGAGCTTTGAACTCGGAGTTTCGACCAAATTACTACCTTTCTTGATACTTTTCTGTGTATTCGTTTGCAACGAAGCAACGATGATGTTTGGAAGTTTTTATTCGCTTTTGTATTTTTGAAACTAAGTGAAGCGCAACGTTTCCGGAACCGACAAGAGTGAAGATATTAGGTGGTTAGTACAGTTTTTTAGACCTATCCTCTAATCATTCAGAATAAAGATAGATAAGCACTCTAGAAAATGTCCTATGCAGAAATTCTTCCTTATTCCAGCAGTGATGTATCGTTCCTTTGGTTTTTTTATCCTTGTTCTCCCGTCACTCGGGGTCTGCCGCTCTTGTTAATCTTCTCCATTCTTCTCGGTTCAAGGCCTGCTCTTCACTTATACCAAGCTCCTTCATATTTGCTTTGACTTTATCCAGCCATCTCATCTTAGATCCTCCTGTTGGTCTCTTCCCTGGCACTTCCACTGAAATGGCCAATCTCGTAATATGGTTTTCTTCTCTTCGTCTCACGTGTCCATACCACTGTAGACGTCTTTTTTGCATCTCTTTACAATGGGTGCCACTTTCATTACGCTTCGTATGTCATTCAGGACATGGTCTAGCATTGTCACTCTCGTGCTCCATCTCAGCATCCGTGTTTCCATTACACTGATCTTCCTCTCTTCGTTACGTGTACATGGCCAGCATTCGCTTCGGTATAGCGCCGTTGGTCGAACTATCGTGCGATATATCAGGGACTTCAGCTTTCTTGGCATCCGCTTGTCACATAGGACTCCTGCGATACTTTTCCACTTCATCCACGCTACGTTCACTCTACTGCTTATCTCATCGCGGAGGTTGCCATCTGCGGAGATACAGCTTCCCAAGTACTTGAAGGAGGTGGTCTTCCTGGGTAGCGTGCCTCCGATCTGGATTGTCCCGGGTGTCTGTGTTCCCAGTTCCATATACTCCGTTTTCGTCGTGTTCAGCTTCAGTCCATGCATCTCAAGCTGATCCTTCCACTTCTGCACTTCTATCTGGAGCTCTCTTCTGCTTCTTGCTAGTAGAAGAACGTCTGCGTACATAAATATCCATGGCGGTTGTCGTAAAGCCGTCGACTACTGCATCCATGACTGTGTTGAACAGGAGCGGTAAGAGTACAGAGCCTTGGTGTACGCCGGCAAGTATCTGGAATTCTTTCGTCGATCCCGCTGCTGTCTGTACGTGGTTGGTAGCATTCTTGTAGATCATCTTCGTCCATTGCACGTGTTCTTCTGGTACATCTTTCGTAGTGCCCACCATATGATGTCGTGTGGTACCCTGTCGAACGCCTTCTCCAGGTCGAGAAACGCCGCATGCAGTTCACATTGCTTCTCCCTGCTTCTTTCTATCATT